TTTTTTGTAATCCATGATAAAATTTTCTGTAATCCATGATCGAATTTTTTATAATCCATGATCGAAATGTTTGTTTTTTTTTCTTGTAATCCATGATCGAATTTTTTGCTTTTGTTTTTTTTTGTAATACATGATTGAATTTTTTGTAATCCATGATTGAATTATTTTTTTCTTTTTTTGTTATCTACGATCCAGTGTTGCACAAGAGAGCGTTCATTGAGGCTATCGGTGATGAAGATCTTGAAGAAAGTGATGAGCCTCATGAAAGAGGAAGCAGCCAGCCAACGTATCCACAATTCGTCAGAGATGTCGGTGATATTGCACCTAATGAGGGAGAGTGGGAAGGGGGTCTAAGAGAAAATGAGAGAGATGATGATTCTGAGGCCACCCTATCCCAGCTATATTATTCACATATCGAGTCCCAACAGCAACAGTGTAGGGATGAGCACGACAGTGCAGGTGAGCATGAAGGATGGACAAGCTTCGGAGATTTTGGATTGGGAACACAACAAAACACTAACACTCAGGGATTTAGAAATAGTCAGACGCCTGCTAATATCGATGATTCGTTTTTAGATCGAATCAATGAATTGTCAAACGAATTCAATCAATGGCACCAGCGTGACCAAGAATAACAACGTCGTCTATCATTTTATTTTTAGATCGTATGTTACTAATTTTATGCTTTATTGTAGTCCATGTATGTTGATATACTTATTCCATGATAATTCTATGTTTATCCTTTTAAATGCTGAATGGTGGTTCATGCAGGGAAAGAACATATCAATATTCGCATATTTATTCAAAAACATGAAAATTCTTAATGGAGTACCCTCATTTCTTACTGAATTCCTAAAAAATAATATTTATAATGAATTTTAATAATTTTTTCGGATTTTTTTGAAGCTTTATTCTGACCGATTCACCCGATTCCCGATCCGGATCGCCGATTTGCCGATCCAGATCGATTTTTGCATTCAACCAATTTATTTCTCTCTGGATAACCCATTCAACCAATTCTCTCTCTCTGAAAAACCCATTCACAAATTTATCTCTGAAAACCCATTCAACCAATCTCTCTCTTTAAACTCATTCAACCAATTTTTCTCTCTCTCAAAATTAATTCAGAAGAAATACAGTTGAAAAACCCAGTCAACCACCATTTTCTCTCTCTACAGTCAAACTAGCAAAAAAAAAAAAAAAAAATCAAATATCACCTTAATATAAAATTTAGACATAAAGAAAACAGACAATGACTTTATCTATTTTTAAGAATCTAAATATTCAAATCCTATTTTGTCAAACATACCTTAAATTATCTTCAGGTTTTGTTAGGCTACACCACCAATTACCTTAAATTATCTTAGGGTTTTGTTAGGCTACACCACCAACCCGCTTAACATTTTTTTACAGTAAATTACTATTGAATAGTAATAGAAAATTTTTCAAGTAGTGGCATTTTTGGTCATTTAGAAAGATTAAATGGATATTTTTATTAAAAAATAGTGAAATTTTATTAGTAGTTAAGAACAATAAATGCATCTTGAAGATGATGTCACACACCATATTAGTGATGACATTGTCTATTATTGTTAATAAGTGATTTTGTTTCTATTAGGAATTTTTAGTTTACCCTTAATTAATTACTTAAAAGAAAAAGTTTAGGTGAGCCCACTAGCTCATAGGAAAAATGACCCCAACGGCCCAGATTGAACTTGGGCCGATTTAACGATAACGGATGGCCGGTAGTGTTTGAATTTTACTTTTTTTCTATAAATCCAAATCACTTGAAATTGTAGTCGTGTATTCTTCTCATCAAGCCGTACCTAATAAAAATATACAAAAAAAATTCGCAAAAAAATTGATCAAAATACCCTTGAAAATTTTTGGGGGTATTTTCATCAATTTATTTCATGTAAAATATTTTTTTGATATTTTTTGAAGATTCATGTATTTTTGATATACAGAAGTTCAAAATTTTAAATGATTTTGAGTTGTAGAAAAAAAAAATTAAAATTCAAACACTACTAGACATCCATGATCGTCTGATCGGCCCAGATTTAACCTAGGCCGTTGGGCTCTTTTTTTCCTTGTGAGCTAGTGGGCTCACCCTAGCTTCTTCCTTACTTAACCCTAAACAAAAAGTTACTATACTATAGGATAAGGGTACCTAAATGTCTAAAAATGTTGAGCACTTTAAGGGTTTACACTACAGGTGGTGTAGCCTAACAAAACTCAAATCTTAAACTTAGTGCATATTGTGACATTATTTAGATTGTGTATTTTTTAAATGTTCATAGATCTGTTCGATGTGCACAAGTTTCTAAGCTTAATGAGGGGTAGAAATAGATTTTGAGGCTATAATAAAAAGGTTTTAACACCAAAACTATATTTTCCAACAAAATTTGTACGTGTCTTACTTAGATTATTTAAGGTAGGCATCTTATACAAACCTCACTCATGCATGAGAGTTCCCTAATAAAAACAAAATTCAAGAATTTAGTCTTGGAAAGGCAACAATAAAAATATTACTCTTTTCTTTTGAGAGAATGTAACAAAATAGGAAATTGTATATTGCATGTAATGAGATAGAAAAGTGTACATTATTCTATTGTATCACTATTATATATACAATGAAAGAACTACTACAATATTAGTGTTGGAAAGAATTAGTTTTCTAAAAGTTCCTTTTTCTCTCTCTAAAAT